TAAAGCTGATAGCGCTGATATATGTTATTAATTAAATGTTCAACATCATTTTTGAAATAATAATTAATTTTTTAATTACGATCCAGCAAAATTTTTTTAAATTTGAATATTAAGTAAAACTAACATTAATACATTAGTAAAAACCACATATTAATCTAATAATCTGGGATCACTGTGCTCCAAAGGGAGGAAAAACAGACAAAAATTTTAATGATTATAGAGGGGGATAAATAAATGGGATATTTTCTCATATATCTTCTATTTACAACGATTTAATACGTTAAAATTATATGTATGTATAGATTTTACCACATACTTCTGTGACAATAGTTGGATTTGTTATAAATTATTTATACATAATGTGTCGTGACCTCTATTCTTACCTGAAAACATAGTTAAAGCATAAATACGAATGAAGACCTTCTGTGCTTTGTGTATGTATGCTTGCGCATTAGTGCGAGTCGTTAAACATTGTTGGTTGGCGCTCATGACTATTAATTACAGTACCTTAAAATTACGCTAAATAAGGAATTTTTTGCAGTTTGATTTGATACTCTTCTTAATTCTTTCTAAGATAGCCGCATACCTACTGTACCTTTTCAGGTTGAATCATTGTGATTAATATTTGCTTGATTTTTGCTTTTTATTGCTTAAAATACACAGGCAGCTGTATACCCACATGCATTTAACACATTTCACGTTTTCTATCGTATTCTACCAATATGTAAGCACTTCTGTAATTTCATAAATTTTTTGATTCATGAGATATGAATTTGTTATCTTTATCATCTCAACCAAAACAATAGTTTCAAAAATGCATTACGTAAATAAAAGCATTCTGATACTAATCACGACTTTATTAATGTCACATTCATAAGTTTAAGTTTGTCAGCACTCTATAACTTAACAACCGAAAAATTTCCATAGTGGTAGAATGAGGCAAATTGTAAAATTCACAGAGGTAAGTAAAATAAATAAATGAAAAAGAAACGTCATTGATAGTTATCATTAAAAAGTACCAATAGAATTATTTTATAACCGGAATCTTCTGCTTACATATAATATCTATACAAACATATAAAATTCAAGTGTATGTTAATTATATAAAAGAATCGCCTTTCATGTACAAAAAATTGTTTTACACTTCTTGTGTCCTGTGTTTGTTTCGCAAATTTCTAAACCGCAGCCCTGATTGTGACAATACTTTCATCTAGGTTATTTAATAAGAAGTAACTTGAGATACTACCGTATTGAAAAATATATATTTTATTAATATAATATATAATAATCCACGCGGATTTTGTAATGGATACAGCTAGTTTAAAATAAAATGCACTTCCCCAACATAATTTCTGATTTTAACGAAATTCCTTTCAGACTGACACCTGAAATAATAAAAAAGATTCTAGGAAAAGCATACATAAAGCATTGTTACTCGTAACGATAACGTAGATAACTAGCTACTCTTCTGAAATTCAGCTTTTGTACCTCACACTTTACGCTACATTTTCCCATGAACATGAATGGCCTGTTTATGTATTTATTAAATTAGGGTTGTGTGTTACTTATTTTGGCTTAGAATATCACAATTTACAGGTCTGGATTTTGGATGCATTGATTTTTGACAACAAACTTGTTTTATTTTGCAAAATAAATTTTATTACATTTATTCATTTTACATTAAAAAAAAATATATTTATAAAATATCAGGATTCTTCAAAAAAGTTTTTAATTAATTGCAACATAAGGGCTACCAATTAAAAGGGCTATCATAAGGCTATCAATATCAATTGCTAACCATAACAAGAGAGAAATTATACAGAGGTCAACTGCGTTGATTAAGATCTCACATGTGAATTGCTACTTGACCTCTAATTTGTTCCCTGAAATGGGGTCAAAATAACAATTATCTACCTAGCACTTGTTAGCAACAAAAAAAAAAGATTGTTTGTTCTGTGACTTTAGTAACTATCTTAAATGAAAGCACACCACATTATAATCTGAGAGTGTTAAACCTCTTTTTTTTCTTTTAAAGAAAAAATGAATCGTTTTAAACTCTCGAACGTGTTTAAATATTTTTTTGATTGTATGGTCAAATATAGTAAATGTTTGATTGAAAATTGTTGCCATGACTTATCATGATAGAATTGGGTCCTTTGTTATCGATATGTCAATTCCACGATTTCAAGCCCATGTTCCATGGCTAGAAGAGGAAAAAAATATGAAATAATGTCCAACCTGATTCATGCTATATGTTACCTTCACCGTCAGTGGTAGTTTGCAATCTTTCGTATGTACGAAAGCTATGTAGCTGCAGCTATGTAGCTATCCCGCTAATTTATCTCGCTTTAGACCCACCGTTCATCCATAAGCAAACACATCACTGGGCGAAAACCTCGTTGCATGTTCCTCGGTTTAAATTTTAAGTCTGGTAGCTTGATTTATTTTGATAGGTAGTTATAGTCCGTTAGACTTAAACTGGGCTTTGCATTTGTGTGAGTGAAAGTAAAATAGATAAATAACATAAGTGCAAGAGCTATTCTATATTAAACATAAAATAAGCAAAACTCGTAAAAGGTCAGATGAAAACATTATGTTACGGAAAAAAAAATTAGGTAATTAATACAATTTTTGAAAAACTGTACAAATTCTTCTTCACTTAACATTGGGTTTTCAACATTTGGCTTTGCTGCCAGTATAAAGGGAAGTGAGGAAGGTGCGGGGAAGAGTAATAGCAGTATAAACCGGTGCAAACCTAGAAAAGAACGTGGCATTTAAAAATTTGCCCTCACACTTACGCTTACTATAAAAGCTCAGCAAAGCTCAGCTTATGGCTCCTCCACTATACTATGCCGGCGACGAATGTTACAGTTATTCATAATCAGAAAAATATATTAATGTTTAATTTACGAGACGTAAGATGAATATTAAATTACTACAAATATTATTAAAAAAATATAAATATATTTTTATTAATTTTTTTTAATTAAATTTTAGAAGTCCCCTTCTTATATAAAAATAATAATATGTAGTATAAAGTATGTAATTTTGCAAGAATATTAGGACCTGAATTAATATAAATATGTACATGAAATGGATCTTAAAGTTAAAAACAATTTATTATATATTTATAACATGGCTTAATAATTATAAAACAACAAAATCCCATTTTCGGTAGTTTCGTGAGACAAATATTGCGCATTGGTTTCGATGCGGCCGTTTATCTTATGAGCTAAAATGTATTAATTACTAATTTAATATTCCTTTGCTTTTGATTTTTGTTTCATGTTCTGAAAGTTAGTTAAAGTGAATTAGGCCCCTACTCAATAAAACCACTGCGAAAGCAATCGGGCGCTATGTCGGTGTACCCCGGATCTATCAGCGACAGGACACACCAGCGACTAGCCGGTCCTGGCAAAGACCGGATTTACTACCTCGGAGTATGAGGGCTATCCCGGCAATTAGGAGCCCCGACGACGCCGGGCTTTCTGGAGCCGTTTTACCAAGCCGACCCCAGTTCGGAGTGCAGGGGTGCTATTGGGGGCGTTAGAATTGCCTCCGTCGCACCCCCGTACGTCGTCTGCATAGGGATGGTGCATCAGCCGCATCCATTTCCCGCTCAGATGCCTCCGTCGTGGACATAAATCGTCTCACAGAAGGAGGGCACCGCCAGAAAGGACCTGTCACTCTCAAGCATCTTCTCCGCGATACTCGAAAGCGACCAGTTCACTCCGCCGAGAGTGTTTATAAAATAGTTGATGACTTTAACTATGTATAATGAACTTGATCAAATTAATTCTAAAAGTTACCTGTTTTTAATCACTAATAAAATTAATTAGTGTGATAAGAGATTTATTTGATTAATAATGTATTATACATATTATAATGATTAATAAAAATAGAAGAAATTTTTCAAGGGCGCCGAGGCTTTCCAAATTGGTATTTTGTCTAGTATCCTTAGCTTTCGTCATCAAAATGGGTTACTTGACGAAAGAGGCAGGAAAATGGCATCATGAAAATTTCAAGTTATATTTGATAACATAGAAGTTTATGTTAATTAATTCTACTTTCAAACTGCGATGATGCTTAGTGCCTAAGTACTGTTGGAAAGCATTGTGATGATATTTTGTACATATATTGTTTGTTTACTCACTGAAATGCAGATATGAAATAAATATCTAGTTTTAGAACTGTATTTTCCTATTGTGGATCGATATCCTGAAGTTGAAAAAACTTCTACGAAAGTTTTTCAAGATGTATGACTTGATCAACTAGGCCAAAGCAACCTCAGTATGTTACATACGCGCTACATATGAAGAAATATTTGATCATCGCCGGATCAAAATCTTTGTATGGATAATATATGTATCATATAACGAGTGAAGCTGCTATCACTGGTGGCCTAGTGGTTAAACACCCGCCTGTCATGCATGAGGGCGCGGCATTCGATTCTGGCAAGTACCAATACGATTTTCTCGAGTCATATGTACTTCCTGAGAGTGTTTAGACACCACTGACAGACGGTGAAGGAAAACATCGTGAGGACACCTGGACTTATAATTTCACAATTATAAGTTTGAAATCACCAACCCGTCTTAAATAAGCGTGGTGATGGTGATGTCAGGCAGGTGGCTGGTCGTGAAAACAATTAGCCAAAACTATCTACAACATGTAAGGCAGACCCTGGTTAAAGCTGGGAAGATGCCAGGAAGAAGAAGAAGATAAGTGATGCTGCTGACTCCGCGGAAAGAACACCAAGCCGTGTGAAAAAGAAGATTCCACATACCACACAAGTAATAGAATGGGATTTTCATCCTAATATCGGGGCAATCATGTAGTCTTAGGTATAGGTCATAAGTTTTAATATGTAATAATTATGAGACGAAACCTCTTAGCATTCAATGGATTCACCGTGCGGGTGCCGGGTCCATCGCGTTGCAGGGAGAGGAGCTTCAACAGTGCCTGGGACTTGCGACCCAGGTGTAGGTTTAAGGGGCCCCTTAACTAACGCGCGTTATACGCTCACCTCCACTGTCCAAGTTCCTCTCCCTACCTAACCAAATTTGAAAAGAACCTACTAGGGCTGCCTTCGACGTACGTTCTAAGAATGAATTAATGTTAGTTCTGGACAGGCCCAAGTCTTTTAGTAGGTTATAGAGAGATTTAGCTGTTATACCTCTCGCTCCCACCTCTACCGCGTACAAATCAACGACGAACCTATTTCGAGTTAGTTCGTTAGTGAGCTCGTAATACTTATTGACCTTGATGGCATGGTCTTTGGGGATGTTGGTTTCCCAAGGCACCGTAAGCTCTATCATCACAACGCGCTTTAAAATACGCGAATATAGAAATATGTCTGGTCTGGAGGCCGACGCACAAATATCCTCGGGGATTTTGTATTATTTCTCATACGTATCCATCATGATAGTCCAATCCGAAGCCGCTTTAAGGATAGAGTAAGGCTTGACGCTTGATTTTATAGCCCTGGTGCCCTCTCTCACAAAACCTATTGATCGCTCGTTTGTGGTTATTTCCCTTTGCGCTCTGGCTACCGAAAGACTAACCGCTTCACGTATGATCTCTAAAACCCTATCGTGACGACGCGAGTATTGACCACTGTCCAGGAGAACCTTACATCCCACCAGCAAATGCTTGGCAGTTCCAACTGCCTTTCCGCAGATATAGCAAGTTTTTTCGGTACCTTTACCCCATCTTACTAAATTACTCTGATCTGGGAGAGTCATCTGGAACGCATTGAGATAAAATTTTAGCAAGGCTGGCGACCAGTCATGAATTAGGGTGCGCCATTTTAGTGCTAGTGGAATGCAAAAATCTCCCATGTCTAACCACTCGTTCTGCATTTCTAAACTCATTGCATGGATCTTGTATTTATCGTTCTCGTCTTGCCGAATAAAAGACTTTAATATATCCGTATCTTGGACTTTCCTACTTGATCCTAACCCTACTCTGTTATTTTGCGCTCCGATCATAAATTGTTTATGGAATTGAAGTCGTGACTCTAGCTCTGGGGCATCATTGTCTTTTGGGAGTGATGTAACGACGTCATCATGGGATTTTCCCAGGATATGTCTCTTGGAAACTCTTAGGTGTTTGTAGAGCTCCGATGGTCTTTTTAGATTCATCCCAAAACTATTACGATCCCTGAATAAAGCCGATGAATCAGCCGTTAGCGCGAGCCCGAGCCACAACTGTATTATATATACATAAGTTACGTAGTTTTCCTGGAATATCCGGTTGCCACCATATATAAATATGTAGTACTGTTTACCAAGCGTTTCATATTAGGATTCCAAGTGCCCGATTTGTGCCACAGCTTCAAACTGCAATTGGTCGCATTGGTCTGTTTATTAGAAAGATGAAATAAATCTCATCTAGAACCTTTCACTGTTAACTTTATGACAATATTCTGTTATACATAGATCGAACAAAAATAAATAGGCTTTAATATGTTATATTAAAGATAATAATTTTAAAATAAATGAAAATATAGTTTTCATCATAATCTCACAACCAAAGATTACATTAAGCACACGTCAACTTAAAAAGTTTTACTCTAGATTATTTTGTAACCAAATCGGGTAGGACATTAAAAACTAGATTGGCCAACTTTCTTTTATGTGGAGCAAAAAGTCGTTATTAAAACTTTATGCGCTGGCCAGAGGAGTTTTAATGTTAGTGTTAGACAAGGCTCAAGGCTAAGAAGAAGCTGTATGGTTAGAGCAGAAGTTTATATAGAAATTGTCCTCCTTAAAAGTTGAAAGTTTGATAAAATTATATTGTAAGACAACGACAAAAATAAAGGGGTTCGATATGGTGTATTTAAAAGAAACAATTTTGATATAAAATCATCAAAATCGAATCAACATCCACATTCTTTCTTAAATACTTATTATTAATTGGGCCGTCCTTTCCTTTGTTCTTAGTTGTTAGCATAGACAAACATGAATCTATTTTAATATTGTAAGATAACTATTTTATTATTCCTAGAAAAAGGAAGTAATTTAAAAGATTCATAACAAGGTAAAAGCTTCGGACTTTAATAACATTTAAAATATTACTTTAGATAAGATATTCTCACAGAATAAGTCTGAAGTTGTCTTCTTTTTTTCTTTTTGTCTCTAATCCATAACAAATTTGAAAATAATATAAAATAGAAAATATATATCTTTAGTTTTTATATTGTGTCAAGTATCTTAATGTATTTCGAATTTTTGTTGATTATAATGATTAATTCGTTGTAAAAAAATGTAAGAGGAACGGAACTGTTTTAAAACAATACTCTAACTTAATTAAAGAATATTAAATACTTTATCTTTAATTAATTCAATACTAAATACCATCAAAACCTACAAGAATTAACTGGTATAGTTTAATTTAGCTTTTACTGATAAGAAAAATAAAAAACACAGAAATAAATCAATTTGGCAATATCAATCTGTCAAGGAAATATATAGAATACTTGTAATAATGTATTTCTGACTATAGTCATATTTATAAAATGACTCATTTTTTTAAATATTTTTCGTAATAACTCTCACACGATATACGTACATTAATCTTGAATACTATACATATATTTGTGCGTCGACCTCCAGACCAGACATATTTTTGTATTCGCGAATTTTGAAGCGCGTAGTGATGATGATAGAGCTTACGGTTCCTTGGGAAACCAACATCCCCAAAGACCATACCATCAAAGTCAACAAATATTACGAGCTCACTAACGAACTCACTCGAAATAGGTTCGTCGTGGATTTGTACGCGGTAGAAGTGGGAACAAAAGGTATAACAGCGAAATCTCTCTACAATCTACTAAAAGATGGGCTTTCCAGAACTCACATTAATATATTCTTGGAATGTACATCGAACGCAGCCCTAGTAGGTTCTTTTCAAATTTGGTTTGGTAGGGAGAGGAGCTTGGACAGTGGAGGTGAGCGTATAACGCGCGGTAGATAAGGGGCCTCTTAAACCTACACCTGGGTCGCAGTCTCAGGCAAGTCCCAGGCACTGTTGAAGCTCCTCTCCCTGCAACGCGATGGACCCGGCATCCGCACGGTGAATCCATGCAATGTTGAGAAGTTTCGTTTCATAGGTCAGGGTAAAAAAATCTCTCTACTTCAGGCAACTTTTTGTTACGTTTCATAGTTTAAAAAATATTTTCGTTTAATTATTTTACAAAAAACTATAACGGTAAAAGTGTTATACAAGTCCGTATTTAGATCTAATTCGGTTTAGAGAGGGAAAATTAATTCGCTTTCGTGTATAGTTAAAGCTATAGCAAAATTTATACACAATTGACCATCTCGTTAAATCGTAACCATGAGAGAATGCATTAAGCGACAGATTAGATTGAGTGGTTGAGCTTAGATTAGATTCAGATTGAGCTTGAAACAGGGTGTCATTTAGCCCTCACTTGTATCACCAGTTAAACATTCTCTTTGTCTTCTAGAATCTAGTACTTTACTTCTTTAAATCCGTATGTTCGTTTGATTTTTTTTAAATGCATTTTATAACCATTAAAAATGGCGGTAACAGTAATATGATAAATAAAATTTGATGATTTACCAAATCTCGTTAAAAGTGAGACTAATTAATTATGGAAAAATATCCTTTAAGAGCTTTTATAACTTTAAAAGAAATTTTGATATACTAATAAGACAAAAACCATAATTTTCTGCTGATGCTCAAGGAATACTAATTTAATTAAAGGATATTTTTGTAATAAAATTTAAATTTTTTGGATTTTACCTATTTTTATCTCTTTTTAAAACGAAGTAAATATTTAAAAAAATCTATAAATTAAGTCACAAATGTAAATTTTTATAAATTTTAGAAAATATAATCCGAACTGTGTCATAGCTGTTGAACCAGCAAGTGATTCTTATTAATATCGCTTATAATTTATATCAAAATTAACATAAACAATAGTAGTATGAATAAAATACAAGATGCACGATAATTGAAATTCATTATTAGATAAAATCATATTTAATCGTTTTTATTGCTCATATAAAAAGTTTTGTTGAAATATATTATGACTATTTAAATAACGTTTCATTTTAAAGACATTGGATTGAAAAAGGAACGTTATTGTCGCTGTACATATGTATTTGGTTTTATGAATTTTCTTTTTAGATTTGTATTCTTGTTTAATACAGTATTAGTAAATGAAAGAGTAATTGAATAAAAGATTTTGTAATTAAGTCATTAAATAGATAAGTTTTTGTGATATACAGACGAATTAACAAGGCCAATTTGTTTTCAATAATTTTATTTTCGAAGAAAAGACATATTAGGTATACTTATGAGCTTATAAAACTTGTATGGAATAAATCAATAAAAAATATTTCTTGAATTAAAGCGTCTTTGAAAATATAATAATATTAATAAAATAAGTCACAAATATTTGCGAAACTAAAAATAAATACCATTCGCATTTACAAAGTAAAACTTTTCTTTGAAAAGAAATCATACAAAAATCTCTCGCATGCAAAAAGTATTTCTGTTAGTTAATGTTTTTACTTATGTATTAGTTAAGCGTGTACGATCGGAAAGATTTAGTTAAGCCCCGGATATGTTAAATAAACCATTAATTTTATGTACACCTGTCAGATAATTTGGTTAATCATGATAATATTTTGTTCCGTTGTTGTTGTTCCGGCGTTAAGCACTGTTGCATTTTTGCAAGATGGTAGAGCCTAGATGTGGCCAAGTAACCACAGCTTGAACATGGGCTGGCTCGACCGGGGTAGTACCACCCTTTCGCAGAAGATCGGAGCGAAGTAGTCATTAATGAATGCGTTTTGTCCGGTGAGTGAGAGAGCTAGTTGCCCTTTGCCTGTTCCCATCCTTTCCTACCATTTTCTTATTCCCATCCCTCAATTTTCCTAAACAACTAAGGTTGTTATAACTTCTATATAAGCCTTAACAATGCATCATCACATTTAAAACGAGTAAAATACGCCAAGCTACTTTGTAAAAGTTGATAATAATCTTAACATTTGTATCAATCGCTTCCTGTTAAGAATATTGCCAAATCGTTTCACTTTTGCTAGTCAAACATTTTTGTAAGTATGCAAATGGTTAACTTCTGAAAACACTGAAAACTTTCCTGAATAAGGATGTACTATGCTTTAATCGATATTTTTAAAGAAAATCATTAAAGAATTTTACTTCAATGAAGTTATTTTTTTTTGTTTGTTTTATGTTAGTTCATTTCAGACAATGTTTTTATGTTTGACGAACGACTTTGTTGTGGTAAATGGTCTCTAGTATTTCTTAATGGAATTTAATTTTTCCTTTTTCCAAAGTAATCCCACTGTCAATTTTTTCGCTTTCAAATAAGATTCGGTTCAATATTAATTTAACTTAAAGCTTTTTTATTCTTGATAAAAATTACTTGTTTATTCTTATTTTAAATTTAAACACGTTGGCACACAATCTTATAAGTGATCACCCTGTAGTAATAAACAATAAATAGACAATCACAACTTATTTTTCCACCGTATATTCTTTATAATTTATATATAAATATTGAATAATAATGAATGAGATTATTATTATTCATTAAAGTTGAGACTTAGGTTGTCAAAAGCATTATATGTATGTAGGTATGCGTGAATAATTAATTGTCTATAGATGCGAGTTGACAGCGATTTCAATATATGTAGATTATTATTAAACCCAATGCTTCGGGAAGCTAATGAAGTTGATATGTCGATGGGAATCCTATACCAATTGTACTGTATCATTTTGTTTTATCTTTACAGAGTATTTTCATTTGAATCATATAAGAATGCGAATTAACTTTTTAGTAAATACTAGTATCACATATTTTAATTTATACGGTTCTACTTTAATGAAATTAACTATAGCACTATATTCTCTTCTGGGCAGTATATAAGAGGTATAGTTTATATTATTGACTAGCTGTGCCTGCGACTTCGTCCGCGTGGGTAGTTATTTTGGTCATCATATTTATTTTTGCAAACAACCTTTTCATCTTTATAAATTATACCTGTTACCCATGACATTGTACTCGACAATTTTTATTATTATTTTTGACAATTTAGTTTTTCAGTTTTCAAAAGAACATTGTTATATTAAAGCATTTCTTCGTAAATATACCCATCCTCCGCGTCGCCGACAAGCAACACCTTTCCTTTCCCGCTTGCCAGACGCTGCGTCA